CTTTTGGCATTTCTTCCACATCTTTCAGCGGTAGTAGGCTTTTTCTTCCACACTAGCCATTACCATCGTATATTTCCTGTCCATTCCATCAGTTGAGGCATTTCATCTGTGGAATTATTGGATAAAATTCCCAACTATAAATCTTAACAAATAAATTGTGAATCAATGCTTTCACAGCAAAGCCACATAAAAAGTCCCTAAGAAGTATTGTGTAGTAGATGTTAGCTCTCGTATCTTTGCCACAGCTAACTTCAGTTTTATTGTCACAAACTAAATATCTGTCCATCCAATAAACTACATCAGTTAGCGTAGTCATCACATCAAAGTTAACAGTGTCCAGGACAAGCCTAAGATCCAAATAACGAATCCAAGCCTAATCTATCAGATCGTGATCTAATAGAACGATCAACTCCCATCTCAAGGAAATACAACTAACCCCATAACGTCAACCCAAAAATAAAACCTCTCCATCAAGAAACCTTCACCAACAGATTCGATTGTGCCATATAACAACAAAGCTTTCCCAAATCAAATCAAACCAATAAACCCACAAAATTCATAACAGAATAACGGTATATTGGATTAAATGACATGAAAATTTGTGTGAAAAATGAATACAAAATGAAATTTTACTAAATTATAACTCTAATTTTCGCATTCAATTTCATCATCAACATCTAACATTTAAAAATAGCAAATAGTATGCAACGCATAAACGACAAAAAAAATCAAAACATAATTTAAACCATTATTACAATACAATAATTTACTGTATGGCAAGTAAAATTATTTGCTATCGTACCCGTCTCGTTTGCCATTGATCGACTTTTGTGCACTTTTTTCTGTTTCTTGAAATTAGATTTTTGAGGTGACTTTCCACCATACTGATTCCATTCGAGTGTTATTTTCTCGTGCGCCATTCGTGCGTGTCTCTCCAAATTTCCACTCTGTGTGAATGCCTTATCACATACGTCACATTCGTATGGTTTTCCACCGATATGTGTCCGACTATGAGCCTTCAGAGTGTTTCGACTTCTGAATGGCCTACCACAAAACTCACATTTGTATGGGTTTTCACGGGTATGCATTCTCTGATGGACAATCAGATGCCCCGCTGTGTGAATTGCTTACCACAAAACTCGCATTTGTGTGGTTTTTCACCGGTATGTGTCCGAATATGGCGTTTCAGATGGTATGCACGTCCAAATCCCTTACCACACACCCTCAGGTCAGCTCTTTCAACTTTCCTAACTTTTTGTCAAAGTTAGGAAAGTTGAAAGAACTGACCTGAGGGTAACAAAATTTGGCTTTTTATTGCATAAATTTGCATTTCTCGGTAACTGGAAATTTTTCAAAAATTTAATTTTGTAGAAATTTGATACAATGTATAAATAAATTCATTCATCTTTCAAAGTGGGCAACAATCATTCGAAAAGAAATTTGTAACAAAAAAAAAAAAAAAAACAAACAGTCGTCCAAAAATTTTGTTCATTTGCAGTCTCAGTATTATATTTTACCTGCCCATTTATTATCATTGCTGTACAATCTGTATTGTTGTTTTTATTTATTATACATTTTTTGAATTTCAACTTCAGTGAGATTTTTGCAGTTAGAGAAGTGGAAAAAAATAGTTGCTTTCTTAGTAATATTGGCAAAATGAGAGCAGAAATAGAAGATTATGTTTAAGCATGGCATATCATAAAGATTTGTTGCACAAATAATAGAAATTTAAAAATTCCTAAAATTTAAACACCAGTGATAAAGTTGGAGGTGAGAAACTGCGGTGAATGATTACACAAAATTGAAAATTGATAATAAATTGACTATTCGCACAGTGGATGAAAATGATATGAAGACTATTCGGATATAACAAATGTGGTAGAAATAAACTGAAACAGTGAATTTCTTAGTTATGTCTTCATGAGTTTGCAGAATATATCTCTCCCGCAAATATATTAATAAATAAAGCAAATTAATTAATAAAGCAAATGAGAGGGACGACAGTGTTCTTACAAACTAAATTGGAAGAACTTCTTCCGCATTGGAAACTGATTATAGTCGGAATAATCGTATTGATAATATCAATTGTGCTTATAGTCCTTAAGTNCAGANTCACATTAATTTATACTATATTTAAACTCTTGTGTTGTAAGGCTCCAAACCATCAGGAGGTTGAAATTGTCCCAATGAGGAGTCCACTACAGACTTTTCTCCCTAAACCTTTGGAACAAAAATTTCAAACATAATAAACTCCACTCTATTACAAGCCTCACATACTACCAATCTCGACCTTCTCTGGTCGGGAGTGTCGTAAAAACGAAATCTCAAACAAATAGTGAGATAAATTTCTTTGTCATTGTATCTTAATG